ACTGAGCCAGGTGGAGACCCTCAAAGCTCTGGCAGGAAGGCAGCAAAACTTGCTCTTCAGGACAGCATCCTTTTCCCTGTGAAAATTCTACCCTGTTCCTCCTCTTTCTTGTTGCCTTAAAACTATGGTGGAACTTCTAGGTATATGCCCCAATGAATTGAACACAGGGACTCAGATATTTGTACACGCATGTTCATAGCAGCATTATTCACAATAGCCGAAGGTGGAAACACCCCAAATGGGCCTTGATGGATGAATGGATAAACAAAATATGGTAAATACATACAATGCATTACTGTAATACAGTGTCTAATTCAGCCATAAAAGGGCATGGAATTCTGACCCACGTTACAGCATGGATGAACCTCGAAAGTATTATGCTAAGTGCAATAAGCCAAGCACAGAAGGACAAGCACTGTATGATTCCACTTACTTGAAGTTTGCAGAATAGATCATTCATAGAGGCAGGAGGCAGAACAACAGTGACCAGGGGCTGGAGGGTGGGGGCAATGGGGAGTTAGTTTTTAATGGGCACAGAGTTTCTGTTTGGGTTGATGAAAAAGTTCTGGAAATAGATGTGATGATGGTTCATGACATTGTGAATGTACTTAAAGCCACTGAGTGGTACCCTTAAAATGGTTAAAATGGAAAGTTCTGTTATGTGTATTTTACCACAATAAAGACAATGGGGCATAAGGGCCTCACTGAATGTCCAGCTTGGAGCAGCGACATGGACAGGCCGTCCTCTGTCTCTCCCTGCTGCTGCTGCTGCTCTTGCAGAAGAGGTAAAGCTTGGGGGCTTTTCTGCTTTGAATGCTCCCTGACTGCCCTGAAAGAGGGGCTTTCAGCTCCCTGGCTGGGACTGATTCTGGAATGCAGAAGTGATTATCCACCTGGCTCCCCCTAGGAAAAGAGTTTCTGGAAGTTTCCCAGGAACTAGAATCCCTGGGGCTGAGGGAGAGGGCAAGGAGGGAAAGGTGAGCACAGGGTGCTGTGGATCTGGGCACCACTGTGCATGGCTAGGACTCGATCTGCCCAGACCCACTGAGGGACCACATGGAATTGCCATTTGAGAGACCAAGTGGGTATTTGTCATGATCAAGGGCTGTCCTGTGGGTTGTTAGCTCCTCACACATGCAGATTGCAGGGGCCAGGGGTGGGTGGGCTCCTGCAGGCATCTCACAGCATGTGTCAGAGGAGCCCTGGGCAGGAGGTACTTGGGGCAGCTGGGTGAGGCACCGTGGCTGCACTGTGTGAATCTGATTGGGCAGCAGTGATTGGAGTAGGAGGGCCACTGAGAGGACATAAGAGCCATCTCAGACAAGTGGCTCATGGGGGGAGTCCTCTTCTTCCTTCTGGGAACCAAAATGCTGCAGGGTTGGGAGGGGTCTCAATGCCTGCCCCTTTCCTCTGTGAGTCAGTGTGCATTTGGATGATTCTGGGTCCAGCCTTCTTCATAGAACTCTGGTGTGTCCTCGTGAGACTCACACATCCTGGGAGAGCCCAGCAGAGCAGACCAGAGGCTACTGCTCAGGCAGAGCCTGACACTCGATCCTCCTGGAAACAGCTCCATGTTGAGCTCCTGTAAAACCAGGTCCTCTGACTATACCTGCCAAGAGTGCCAGGAAACCCTTGATAAGATTTGAAGTCTTCAAGGAATAATGGGCACGGCCTTAAGTGCTGACTTTTCCTGCACACGGCTCCCTTTCAGCCCTCTCTGGACATGCACCTTATCATTCCCATTTAGCCGAGGCCACCTGCCCAGGTCTGGGCACTGAGCCTGCATGACCCAGCCTTCTGGAGCCTGCACCCAGCTGGGGAGGAAGGTGTGCATACACACAGCACTTGAATTCACTGCTTATTGGAAGGGAAGTGTGCAATCAGAGAACTGGGAGATGTCCCAAGGGCCTGAGCCCCTGCCAGGAGGTGGGATGGAGAAGAGGCTGCAGGGGGTAGGCAGAGTCATGGCAACCTCGACCTCTGCTGGGTGAACTTAGGCAAGTTACTTAACCTCTCTGAACCTTTGTTTTCTCTTCTAAGTAGTATAATTATACCAATTTCATAGGGTTGTTGTGTGGGTGAAGGAGGTAAAGGCTTATCCAGTGTGGAGAAGAGTGCCAGGCATGTGATAAGGGTCCAGTAAACACTGGCCATTCCTGTTATTAATAGAAGTCACAGGATTCATACCCAAACCAAGTCTGGGGGAACCCTTTGCCTGTTAGCCTGCCATTGGACAGGCAGAGGATTGGACTAATTGCCAGATGGCCTCTAAGGCACTGTACTGGCATTCTGTGAGTGTGAGGATCTCTATGTCTGGAAGGCGGAGGGAAGGAGAGCGTGCTTCCGGGAGAGGGGCACAGTGTCAGTGAAAGCAGAGAGGTAGGAAACTGCATCCTGTGTTAGTTTCCTATGACCATGCAACGAATAACTACACCCTTAGAGGCTTAAAACCATAGCGTTTATTACCCCACAGTGCTGGAAGTCAGAAGCCTGACACAGTATATCATGAGGCTGAAAGCAAGGCGTTGACCAGACTGAGTTCTCATCTGGAGGCTCTGCGGGAAAAAAAATCTGCTTTCAAGCTCCTGGGTTCTTGGCAGAATTTACTTCGTGGTTGTAGGACTGAGGTGCCCATTTCCTTGCCAGTTTTTGACCAGGGACTGCTCTCAACTACTAGAGGCCACCTGTGTGCCTTGCCATGTGCCCCTCCTCCTGCGTGCCAGCAGCAGTGCTGGCGTCTTCCTTGTGCTTTGGATCTCTGACTTCTTCTGCTGTCTCTGACTTCTAATCCCAGATTCAAAGGGCTCATGTGCTTGGATCAGGCCCTCCTGAATAGTCTCCCTATCAACCGATTTGGAATTTAGTTATACCTGCAGAACCCCTTCCCTAGATTCATGTTTGATTGAGTAACTGGGAGAAGGAATGCACGCAGGACCATCTTAGAATTCTGTCTTCCACACGTTTTATGTGCCCAGGACAGAGGAACCAGGGACTGGAGCAGGGCCCAGCACAGGCATGAGCAGCCGCTGGAGCAGGAGCAGAAGGTGGTGATGGTGTGGGAGGGTCATAAGGCCGCTGTAGGCCTTGAATTGGCAGGTGGAGGAAGAGGTATTGGATGTCTCCACCACAACCCCGACTGTGACCCCATACCACTGATGTGCTTATGCCCATCCGAGCTGACTCCCTGCAGACCCGCTGCCACCCTGACCTCCATCCAGACCTGAAACCTCCAGTCCCCTCACTCCTCCCTCTAGGACAGGTGGACAGGCCCACAAGCCCCAAGGCCACTGAGCTCAGGAGCACAGAGCAAGCCCCTGCATCATCTCAGAGCTCCCTTGCAACTGGCCAGGGGTCCGAGGGAGGCTGGGCCCCTTGCAGCAGCCAGAAGCCAAAACCAAGTCAGGAAAGCAGTTGAATACATATATCCTCCAACGCAGTTCTTCACCAGCTGGGCAGCTCGTTTTACCCACTGCCAGCCCCCTCCGAGGAGGCCGGTAACAGGGGCAGGGTGGGGTCAGCATTTGGGATTTCAGTGGCATTTTTGGAACCCATGAGCCAATTCTTGCTTTTCTTGGGATCCATTACAGATAAGCACTCAACCAACCCTTGATTATTGGTGAATAACTACATTCCAAAAATGTTCTCAATAATCTAAGGTTCTCAAATTCATTCAACTCTGTACCCCACAAACATGTATAATCGATTGTCAATGAAAAATAAATAAATAAAATAAAATCCAAATGTTCTTTAAACATACTAGGACCTTGCCTTTACTACCAACAATAGTCTTCACGCAGCCCCGTGTGGTTTCAGAGCCCTGCCTGTACATTATTCAGGTCTTCTCTCAGTTTCACATGGGGGAGGTTTGGTGCTTGTCATGATGGAACCTCATGCAGGCTGTTTCCTCCATCTGGGTGGGAGCTTCCATGGGTATCACAGGTCTCTAGATATAAAAAGAGACTCAAGATAAGCTTAAATAGCTCCTTCCTCTCTGGCCTGGAGCCCATCAGAGAAAGGGGAGAGTCCCTGGCCTAGAGATGGGAAAGGTTCTAGCTCTCCCCACACCCAGGTGGGTCAGGAGTAAGCTGCGAGGTGAGGGGGTAGAAGGTGGCAATGGTGGTGTCCCAGCAGGCCTGGGCCCCTGTAGGGCTGGGTTGACCCAGTCTGGTCAGGAGGGTCCACAGTTCTGTCAGTGGTCTTTAACTGGTATCCCAGGAACAGCTGGACACGTCTGCCAGGCTGCCCCAGAGAGAGGGCCAGGGGGCTAATGGGGATCACGCTCCTATGGAGGGTGACCAGGCGGCCTCTGGGACTAGGCCACCTGCATAGACAACCTGCTCCGCCTTCTTGTTCTACCAGTAAGAGCCAGCCACCTTCCTACGACTGAGCGTACCATGTGCCCCGTAGCTGCACTGTAGCGAGGCTGTAAAGTTGTGCTTCTAACTTAATGCCCACTGGCTTCAGCTAATTTAGGGGATAGTCTGGTGACCAGAGAGAAAAACTTTTTAAGAGGAGGCATTTTCTTAGAAGACCCAGGCCCCTTAGAGGGAGTATGTGTCTGGGGACCCCTTGTACAACCTAATTCTTAGGTAAGAGACGTAAAAGTCTGTGGTCTATTTTACTCTGCTTTGTGGTAGATTTTGCTAAATCCCAGCTGGGAGGTGGGGCTTGGGTGGTAGTCTGGGTTTATCTTCTGCTTTTCGCAGGTGTTGAGACCTAGGTATGCCCTAACTCTGACATTGCACAAGTTACTGTGCTGGCCAATTAGGCAAGCTACCTGCCTCTCTGGGCCTCAGTTTCCCTCCATGCATAGGGGTAATTACAGTATATTCTTTATGCTAAAGGCAAGCCAGTTCCCCACTGACTTCTCAGGGCTGTTGGGAGAACAAAATGCTGTGATGGATGAGAAATGCTTCCAGGAGTGGAGACCCTTTCCCAGTGGGGCGTCATCCTCGCCTCCAGCAGTGACTCACAGGGCTGTCTGTCCTCTTTCCCAACAGCCCCTTCCCAGGCCCCTGAGCTGCAGGGATGGAAAACTCCTCGGCAGCATCGGCCTCCTCCGAGGCTGGGAGCAGCCGCTCCCAGGAAATCGAGGAGCTGGAGCGCTTCATCGACAGCTACGTGCTGGAGTACCAGGTGCAAGGGCTGCTGGCGGACAAGACTGAGGGCGACGGGGAGAGTGAAAAGACGCCGTCCCATGTCTCCCAGGTGAGCACTGGCCTGGGTAGGGGGAGGCTTGGCAAACTCAAAAGGGTTGATATGAGGGACCCTCATTCTAGGCAGTGTCTGGTCACCTGGCCCTTGACTGCCAAAGTGTAGATGGTCCCACCCGGCAGGGCACCCTCAATCCTGCTTTGGGATCCAGGCAGGAAGCACCCCCGGCTGTGCACACTCGGTCCTCTGACCTGCCACTACTCTGTCCTACCCCAGCGGGCAGCTGGGGCCCAGCCAGACTCACGAGTCTGAACACACATTTCCTGAGCACCTACTATGTGCTAGGCACTGTTCCCTGTCTTTGACAAGCTTATGTTCTCGAAGAGAACTGGAGATTGCAGCTTATCCATAATGCAGACCATCCAAAGTGCTGTAACTTACGAATATTTTCTTTGGTTTCAAATACATGCAGTTGTTGGCAGCCAGAGAAATGGGGCTCTCAGGCTGCCCACCTAGGGCTCTGTGTGCAGGGCACACTCAGACGCAGGAGGCATTCTGACCAGAATCTCGGGTTAGTCCTGCCCCTCTTGGGTCAGTCTGTGGCAGCCCTGGCCTTGAATGAGAGATGGACTCAGCTGAAAGACTGCAGGCTGAGATTTGCCAGTCTTGAGTTCTCCCGAGTAAAGGATGGACGCTTTAAGGGCTAGGACCTATCGCATGTATCTTTGTCCAACACTGTAAGTCCTCACTAGATATTTGTTCAAGAGTTGGTTCCAGATCTGCTTCTATTTGCCTGTGTGACCTTGGATAAACCCCTCAATATCTCTGAGGCTTAGTTTTCTTATCTGGCAAATGGGAATTACCCTGCTGCTTCAGGGAAGGTGGGAGGTCAAAGACGATGGGAGGTACAAGAGCTACAGAGAAGCAGGGTGCTGCCTGCACAAGGCGACACAAGGAGGGTCTCCTCTCCTGTCCAGGAACAGGGGCCCAGGTGTGGCTCTTGTACTGGTTCCACCTCAAGTCTGGGGCTCCTCTGACAAGTAGAGGGTGACTATTTTGGTGCTCTGCTTTGCAGAAAAGCTGAGTGCGATCACCCGGCTCACTCTGTGTGGGGAGAAGATCCAGATCCTCCACCTGTTTAGAAAGTCAGAGTGGACCTGTGGCTTTCTTGGAACTCAGACTAGGAGTCACCCTGGGAAATTCTGAACTGCAATGGCCCCATGCTCTACCCCAATGGGGAGCAGGGGGACAGAAAGTAGCCCCAAGAGAGAAATAGAAACAGATGTGATGCTTACTTTACAAGCATTTGTCCTTGAAGTTCTAAAATCACAAATAATGTAATTTTTACTTATTATTCAACCTACAAGGGTGTATTGAACACTGATTCTGTGCCGGGCACTGTTCTAAGAGTCTGTATCCAGGAGTGACCAAAACTGACAGAAAGCTCTGCCCTCATGGACCTTGTATCCTAGTGGTGGGCGATCGTCACAAGGGAGAAAAATGAAGCAATAAAATGGAACAGGGAGTGATGAGGAGCAGGGAAGATGTCGCTGAAGGAAAGGAAGGGTGAGCCAGGCAGGGTTCTGGGGAAGAGCCTCCAGGCAGAGGGATCAGCACATGCAAAAGGCCGGACTGGAAGAGTGGTCCAGGCCCAGCAAGGTGGCTGGGGGCTGCAGCAGGGTAAGAGTGGGGAGAGCGATGATGGGACTGTGCAGACAGGAGGGACAAGGGCTGGGGGTGCCCAGCACTTAGGAAGAAGGGGCGTGAGGAAGAACCGGTCAAAGGGACCAGTGGGGCAGGAGGAACACCAGGTCAGAGTAGGGGGCTGGAAGCCCAGGGAAGAAGGGTTTCAAGGAAGTAGGTTGGAGGGCAATGTCCTTGAATGCTGCTGCAGTCGTGGTTAGAGGGGACTGAGCATAGCTGACAGAGCAATGGGACATCTGTCATGACAACCAGAGAAGTTTCAGTCGAGTGGTGGAGGCGGAAGTCTGGCTGGAATTGGCCCAAGGAAGAGCAGAAGGAGACGGATTGGAGAGAGGGAGTGTGGTATGAGGAGTTTAGTTGTAAAGGGGAGAGAATGTGGTGGTATTTGGGAAGTGAGGTCAAGACAGGAGCATTACCACCACGTTTATGCGTTGTTGAGGATGAGCCAGGGAGAGGGAGGGCAACTGGAGCTATGGCCTTATCCCAAACCCTGCAGCTCAGCCACAATGATGGGAGGGAGCTTTGGGGTTTGCAGCCGTGCATCTGAAAATGACACCTGCAGAGTTGTGGGGTTTTCTCCAGCTACTTTCAGCCACAAAAGTGCAGGTGCAGAGTTATAACCAGGATTGAGGTTTCTCCAGGGAGTGCAGTGGAGGGAGAGAGTGGTGAGGGACACGAGGGAGGCATGGTGATGATGGAGCCTGTATGCTGAGCCTGGCAAGGAGGGCGTGGGCACCCAAGGTGGTGGAGGATGCTGAAGGGTGGTAGGGTCAGTAGATCGGAGGTCCTGGTGGCAGAGGGAGTGAGCTGGGAACATAGGAGGCATGTCCAAGAGTGGGGTGCTGGAAATCAAGGGTGGGGAGAGTCCAGCGACCGGCACGGAAAGGGCTGGGTGTGAGCGTGCGAGTGCAGAGAGGAGAGGGCGAGGCCAGGAGGAGAGGGGGTCTTGGAACTGAGAGGCAGGGGTGGGAACCTTCTGCATGGGTCTCAAAATCACCAAGAAGGGACAAATGATGTTGGAGAAAGTGGCCGTGATCCAGGAGAAAAGTCGTGCAGGAGTGCAGGGAGTGAGATGGGGAATGGGTGACCTGGTGGTCTGCAAATGACTGCAGGGAGTGTGGCAGGGGTCTTCTCTGATGGTGAGTTAATTTATTCACCTGATTTCATTTCTTGATTTAAAGTATCTTGATTGTACAGTTAGCAATATCATGACCTGGAGTGGAAGGGGAAGTGGTTGGGATGGACTGGAAAATCTCCAAAGGAAATTGACATCTTGGACTGTTGAGGGCAGGAAGGGGAGGCACCGGAGTGAGCTGCCTCTTGCAGCCCCAGAGTGACCTGGAGTGGAAGGGGAAGTGGTTGGGATGGACTGGAAAATCTCCAAAGGAAATTGACGTCTTGGACTGTTGAGGGCAGGAAGGGGAGGCACCGGAGTGAGCTGCCTCTTGCAGCCCCAGAAGCACCCTACAGCTGACTTCCCCAGGAGCAGGCCTGGGGAAGGGGGATGGACTTGGGGTGTGCCCTGCCTGCCTGCCCCACTGTGTGGAATCTGGGGCCTTCAGCAGGGCACCCTCGGAAAGTTCCTCCAGCTGAAATACGCTCTGCAGGAGGAGGGTCTAAGGAAGCATGAAGCTTTGTCCCAGAGGACTGCTTTGCTGATGGTAGAATTTCTATGCCCAGAGCAGCCACTGGGGAGACAGTTTTAGAAGGAGGGGTCTTCCCAGCACCTCTGTTGTGCCTATGGTGACTGTTGAGCTCTTGGAAGGCAAAGTAGGTGCTAAAGGGCCCCCAAGATGGGCCCTGCACATCTGGCTCCTGCTCCCAGGACTGGTCAGGCCTGAGCCATGCATGGATGCCTACATCTGGGCGAGGCAAGACTCTGGAGGGGCTTTTAAATTGGCGTTTACTGAGAACACCGCACGTGCAACATTTGGAGTCATTCCTTAAACTTTCCACATGCTCTGAAATTTCCTGGAAGAAAGCAGACACCTGGCAGGACTCCGGGCCCTGCCTGCATTCCACTAGAAGAGGAGAGACGACCCCTGCCTCCCCTCCCCCAACATGCACAAATGCACCTGGGACATGGACTCCACAGGAGGGACAGCTGTGGCCATCTCTAAGCAAGGCCAGGGTTAGGTGTGTCTACATAAGACACTTCTTTAAAAAAAAAAACACCTCTATTGACACAGCTTTATGGGAAATATTTCTGCCAAAGCACTTCTGCTTGTTTCTATTTAATCTGATGACTATTTTAAATGAAAGCCAAAATAAAAAAACACTCAGAATGTCCCAGTCTGCCTGTCTGTGGTGGTGTTCTGATTTTTCTGGGAGAGGAAAATTGTTAAGAATCTTGGAAACCTTGAGAAAACTTGAGGGAGTGGAAGACAATGATGCTCTTCAGTTGGTGAGGTCATTTTTTAGGAGCTGAGAAATGACAGTTGACACTCAGGAAGAAAATGTCTCTGATGTTCGTACAGTTGTGTCCCCCCATCCCTCCCCAGCAACAGCTAGAAAGAAGGATGGGTACATAGACAGACAGATAGATCGACAGATAGAACTTCCCTTCTCTGAGGTGAGTAGCCAAGAGTACGTAGGTTTTAAGTTTCCCAGCGCTTTCCAGACACCATATTTAAAATTGCACCCCCCTCCCCCCACATTTCAGAAGCACCTGCTCTCTGGTGGATTCCAAGTCCCCAAAGTCAAATCCTGAAAGCTGTCCTCACTCTGTCCTTGAAGGGAAGGGGAATTATAGCCCTATTCTGCAAGAGGGAAACTGAGGCACAGAGACAGGAAAATGGCCAAACCACTCTGCTCAGTGGTGTCTGAGCTGGGCCCCAGAGCTCCACCCTCACCCCACCCACTTCTTCTGGCTTCCTGCTGGGCACAAGGTATGACTGATAAGGTGTTGGGTGGTTGATATTTATTTTTTCCTATAGAATGAGAATTAGGATTTTGTAACAGTTCCTTTTCCATCACTTGCAACAGAATACCTGAAACTGGGTATTTAAAAAGAAAATTTATTTTTCACAGTTTTGGAGGCTGGGAAGTCCAGGGTCAAAAGGCACATCTGGTGAGGGCCTTCTTTTTGGTGGGGACTCTCTGCAGAGTTCTAGGGCAGTGTAGAGTATCACATGGTGAGAAGTCAAAGAGTGTGTTAATGTGCTCTCTTGCTCTCTTTATAAAGCTGCCAGTACCACGCCTGTGATAACCCACTTATCCATTAACCCATTAATTCATTAATCCATGAATGGATTAAGCCATTCATGAGAGCATAACCCTCATGATCCCATCACCTCCCAAAGGCTCTACCTTTCAACACTGCCCCTCTGAGGCTCAACCTTCCACATGAG